GTCCGCTCGTCCACGGGGGAGATGGACACCCAGGGCTGCCTCTGCGTGGGCTCGGCTGGAGCTGCGGGGAACTGTCCTCGCCAAAGCGGCTCCCCATTCTGGCTGAACTTGAACGCGGTTGTCCCGCGGTGGTGCCTAACTCGCCGTCAGGCCCTTGCCTACGACAATGGCTCTGGAGTCCCTCCAGTGGGAGAGCATGCGCTCTGCGTGGCTTCTCAGGGGGCAGCCAGGGGTCTGCGGCGGCCTTCCAGTTCTCCAGCCCGGCTAGTCTACCTCAAGAAAGAAAGGGGAAGAGTTTGTGCACGCGCCCCGAAGCCAGGGAATAAAGGTCCACCAGTTGATCTCAGCCCACCTCGTTGGCCTTCCAAAAAGGCACAGAAACAATGAACGAGTATCACTCTGATACTCAGAAAAATGATTCACACCTCAGTAATCTTTTTTTTTTTTTTTTGAGTCGAGGTCTCACTCTGTCGCCCAGGCTGGAGTGCAATGGCAAGCTCACGGCCACCGCAGCCTCCACCTCCTGAGCTCAGGAGATCCTTCTGTCCCAGCTTCCAGCACACACACCAACCAGCACATGCTCAGCTAATGGTTTGATTCTGTAGAGACAGGTCTCGCTATGTTTTCCAGGCTAACTTTGAACTTCTGGACTCAAGCGATCCTTCTGCTTCGGCCACTTGGGCCGGCCTGGCCCTGTGTTGAGATTACAGGCGTGAGCTACTGTGCCTAGCCATCTCGATAATTCTAACCAAGGTATTCTCTTGTTAAGATAAAGACAGAACCTATTCCAACATCCAAATCTTTAAACTCTAAGCCCAGAACCATATAAATTTAAAGCTGAAAGAAGAGCACCGCCTACTATCTCCTAACTTACATGAGAGAGCAAAAATTCTCAAGAGTTTTAAAAACTTTAAAAGTCCTGAAGAACTGAGCTGTAACAACTGGCCAGTTCTGTTGAGATAGTTCTCATGGCTGACAGCCGCTGACCATGTCTACAGAGAGCCAAGAAGGAGGTGTCTCAAACATGTCCATACCCCCACAGTGAGTTAAATCTTGCCTGATGTTTTTCTCCCAAACCTTGGTGTCAGCAATCAAGTTGGCCTATTTTAATTATTTTATTGAAAAAAAATTCTACTTAAGATTTCATGTGTGAAAGATACAGAAAAGCAAAGTATACAAATTTCTCAATAAACCAATCCACTTTGTTTAAAAGGCTAAATAAATCCAAAGATGACCATCTATTTCTTTTGTTTTGTTTGTTTGTTTGAGTTGAAGTCTCACCCTGTCACCCAGACTGGAGTGCGGTGGCACGCTCCCAGCCACCGCAGCCTCGACCTGCTGGGCTCTGGGGATCCTTCTGCCTCAGCCTTCCAAGTAGCTGGAACTACAGACGCGCGCTACCACGCCCAGCTAATTTTTTGATTTATTGTAGAGATGAGGTCTCGCCAAGATGCCCAGTAGGGTCTCAAACCCACAGGCTCAGGCAATCCACTCACCACAGCCTCCCAAAGCGCGGGATTACAGGCTGAGCCACCGAGCCCGGCAACCATATATTTCCAAAGATGCTGATTCAAAAGTTTTTGTAGGATCTACATTCGCTTAACAAATTCCCTAATAACCGGGTGCGGTGGCTCATGTCTGTAATCCCAGCACTTTGGGAGGTGACAGAGGTGAAAAGATCACCTGAGTCCAGCAGTTGGAAGCTGCGATGGCCATGAGTGTGCCACTGCACTCCAGCCTGAGCGACAGAAACTCCGACTCAAAAAAAAGAATTCCTTACCATCTCTCATATGAGTTTTGTATTAGAAAAGTGCATTCAAGTGGGGGTGACGGGTACACTTAAAACTCAGACTTCTTGGCCACTATACAATGCAGCCATGTAACCAAAAACTATTTGTATCCCATAAAGCTATTGAACTAAAGAAAAAAATGTAAAAACTAGAGTTAAAAAAAGAAAATTGCATTAAAATAGAAGTTGGAGTTCTCATTCAATGCATAATGAATTTATAAAAACGTTTTCCATCAAATTCTCCTGCTTTGAGATTTTGGTCATGAGGAATGAATTATGACCTCACAAATAGACGTTCTTAAAAGAATCAAGTCAGGCATGGTGGCTCATGCCTATAATCCTAGCACTTTGGGAGGCCGAGGTGAGAGGATTACCTGAGTCCTAGGGTTCAAGACCAGCCTGGGCAACTTAGTGAGACCTCATCTCTACAATAAATTAAAAAATTAGCTGGGCATGGTGGCAAGTGCCTATAATTCCAGCTACTTGGAAGGTTGAGGAGGAAAGATCACCTAAGCCCAGCATGCCACCACACTCCAACCTGAGCAACAGAGTGAGACTCTAACCCCAAAAAAAAAAATCAAAATGAAAAAGTTTTTTTTTCTTTTGTATATTCACAAAGGGAATAAGACTCTATAAGTAGTGTTTTTTTTTTAATGTTGCAAGAAAGGAAAATAAGTGTCAGGATGATCAAATCTCTTTAAACCAAAATCTACACAAAATCTCTGGTACTGAAAATTCTACAAGAAAAATGTGGGCAAGAGAGTGCACAGCACGCATACAGACCAGGTTCCAATGAGATCATAAAACACTTTATTCTTTCAATTATCATGAGGTCAGAGTTCCTGCTGGTGGTAGTTTCATAATAAAGGCATGCTTTTACAGTCCCTGGAGGAAGATCATGGAAGAAACTTCCTCTCAAACACCCAACCTAAATAAATGTCAGGAAAGGACTTTTATTTTAAGCAACAAGAAAGGCGCTGCAGAGAAATACAAGAGATTTTAAATGTTGCTCTGAGCTGCAGGAAAGGAAGGTAGTACTAGACATGGACGTTGAACAAGTACGTATAGAAAGTGTCTTGAGTTTAAAAACACCATTTACATCTAACTCAGCCACCCTGTAAGCTCTGCGTGTGCCCCTGCAGACCTAGAAAGCTCACTGCTGGGGACAGCTCCAAATTAATGTCAGCACCCTCGGCGCAGGATCCCTAGTCACCCCTACACATGACAGCTCTTCAAAAATGGGAAGACAGGTCCCTCGGCCATCTGTCCCCCATTGTTCTTCCCCAGATTAAAACCTGCATTTCTTCAGCATTTCCTTACAGTGCTCGATTTCAAACCCCCCTCACTTGGCAGTGCAGTCTCTTTGGCAATTTGTCTAATTTCTCATAAAGTGAGTCTGAGAACTGGATGGTGGTCCCAGGTGTGACCAGTTCTGAGATCAGGAAAAAGCACTGATGGAAGATTCAGATGGGAGCAAAAGCAATGGAAACCAAGAAAATAATAAGTTTTATTATTTTGCTGCAAGAATAAAGGAAAATATTCTTCCTTGCTAGAAGAAAGTCAGGAAAAATGAACCCAGGATAATCAAGGACCTGATGGCCGTGAGGTTTACATATTCTGTTCTTTTTAAGGTATACATTTATTAGAATGTATCATGAGAGCATGCTATTAGATGCTTGTTAAGTAGTGATAATAAATTATCTAAGAGAGTAAAAGAAACTATAGCATGCATATATTAAATTTTCCTGGAAATTCATTTTCAAATTAAATATGAAACATGAAGTATTAAACACTTGTATTGCTGAGTAATTTGAAAATCAAAGTCACTTGAATTGTTTAAATATTTTGATAATTCCTTGTCTGATGCCAAATATAATTTAAAACAGCTTTTAGTAAAATATACCAGGGTGCCAAAAAATTGTATGCACATTTTAAGAGATGTTTTCTATGTATTACTTTTCTTTCCTTCTCTCCTTCTTTCCTTCCTTCCTTCTTTCTTTCTTTCTTTTTTTGAGTCGGAGTCTCATTGTGTCTTCTAGGCTGAGTAGAGTGGCACACTCACAGCTACCAGGGTCTTGACCTGCTAGGCTTAGGCAATTCTTCTGCCTCAGTCTTCCAAGTAACTAGAACTACATGTGTGCGCCACCACACCTGGCTAATTTTTCTTGATTTATTGTAGAGACGAGATCTTGCCATGTTGCCCAGACTGGTCTCGAACCTGTGGGCTCAGGCAATCCTC